ACAGCATGAATGTGAAGCAACCGAAAACCTACCTCTGGATGGAGAAAATCTCTTAGGCAGCACAAAGTCACACTAGATTTTCATGTCTTTGTTCCATGAAGGAAATTTATGGGAAGGATAGAAGATATATATAGGCCTTTAATTTATCTTCTGCTGGAAATCCGTTTTATACCTAATAATTATTTTTTACGTAAGAAGCATACTAAATTAGCCGAGACAAGCTCTGTACTATGAGTAGAATCTTCTGTATTCGAGAGCGAGGTCATTTAAAGTTACCCTGAGCACCTCCACTGTGCAGCCTGACCAGGGCAGGGCGGCTGAGGAAGAGGCTGAGTTCCACCGTAATCCTGTGACATCCTCCAGTCTCTTTTGCTTCACTGTCTGCAGACTGCTCCAAGTTTAGCATCTGCAATAACATCCATAATGCATGCTATGAGGGGAAAAAAAGTGCATGTCCATTTTCGTGTTTTATCTGAAACTTTGAATTAAACAGGGCTATCTTATAAAGTAGAAATGAAATATCGGTATGGTGGTATTCATCGTATAAGCTCTGTCTCCAAACATTATGTAAAGAAGGTCAAATTTTGCCTTCAGATATATTTGTCTGCATTCAGATCACCTCAGTGAAATCAATGTACAGCTCTGCTCATGGCAGAATGCAACTCATAAATAACACAGAGCAAAGCAATAATGGAATGGTAGAGAGGGGGATATACTGGAGGTTGAAGCAAGCCAAGAAAGAATATCTTTTCAGATGAGCTTTGCAGAAGAACCAAGGAAGCAGAGCAATCAAGTTGGAAGTTCAAGAATGCCAGGTAAAGAAGCGCGGTTGCTACTGGCACAGAGACTGTTGGCACTCGTTGTTCAGACAAGAGGTTCAGTTCCTCAGGTGAGGGGATGTTGTGGGCTGATGCTTCTGGTGACTCGCTGCAGCTCCTCCTCACTGGAAGTATGAATTTTGCCATTGTGAAGCATGCTGATGGTGGTTCTTGGTGTTTGATTGAAACTGTAGCAGTTCACCAGTGACCTTACCCACCCTGCCAGTAGCTGAGGTATTTTAGGTGCTGCAAAACATAGGGTATCTGATTGTAGAATTTTTCTGGAACGCCATGTAGGCAGAGCCAAAGTAGTTTTTGCTTTTTCCATAGTACCAGTGTAGTCATCAAACCACAAAGGCTGCTTTTTGAGTTCTGTGTGAACTTGAGCTATATCAAATAATGCATCTTTAGTCATCATGGTGGGGATTGGTACTGTTAGTCAGCAGCCAGCCCTCAGAAGTGCTGCAGTCTGAAGGAGTTTTCTGTGTAAACATCAGTCTGGAAGTGTGAACTTCGAGGAGAGGGCAAAGACCTTAATCAGAAAGTGAATCCCCCTCCTTTTTAGCCAACCCAGTCCAAAGTTGGACAGGGTAATGGTGGTGTCTTCTACTTGGTCCCTGGAGTAGGGTCTTATAGCTGGGCACTACACATAGGAAATACAGCTGAGACTGTTACAAACACATCCATGCTGTGGGAAGTGACATTGTGGCCCACTGTTGTATTCCACGTTTTCTGTGCCTCTTTGTGTAAAAGGGGAAAAGCAAAAACCAGAAATCCACTAGAAAAAAAACTCAAAGAGAGAATGACTCAAAAGAGAAGTTCTTTTGAGCTTTTTAATGAAATTCAGTACGTGCCTACTTATTTCTAAAGAGATTTGAAAGTTTTATTTGATCTTATTTGGTGAAATATCTGTATATATAAAACATGATGTACATATGTTGTAGGAAACACAGGCTTTGTAGGAATTATGTATACCCTAGGTGAAAGAAAAGTATCACAGAAAATGAAGAGGCAAAGTAAGACGTTGTGTCTGCTAAATAAACATTTATTATTCCCTGTAGTTAACTTCTGAAAAAGGTATCTCTAAGAATTAATGTCTTTACTGGTGTATGTGGTCTGGTTATTGCCAGAGCGATAGCTGGATCTGAAGGTAATTTCTCAAGAGCTCTAGCTGATGTAGTGAAAGTCGGATTGATTTTAACATTGCAAGATGACCAGGTTTCTTCAGCGACAGGAGTCACTCGGTTTAGTTCAAGTAGTCCCTGTTTTCACAGCAGTGTGCTTTGTTGTTCAAATACTCGGTCTTGCACATTGTTCGACGTGGAGATCCCGTGGACTGAAGGTCCAAGGCTGGCAGACACCATCGTCTCTCCAGTGCGGTCGGTGTTTCTCAGGGAGGAAGCCGACTGTCAAACGCACATACGAGCAGTTTTGCTGGCGTGGCAGGCTTTGGCACACACCATGAAAACAACAGCACTTCCCCAGCCTGAAGGAAGGTAAAGCAAGCAAACTACTGGAACCGGTGCAAAGGGATGACAAAGTGCATAGTGTGTGTAATCTGAAAAGGACATACAGTAAGGGAAAAGGTGCTTCACATATTCAGTCCTTGCTCTGTGACGTACCCGCTGCACCACGTGCAGATGCTGCCGTAGGAAATTAATAATAGCAACAATGGGAATAAGAAAGCAACTAGATTATGTTCATGATTCTGTAACCAATAAAAGCTTATTGATGTGTGCAGTTCTGTTTTGCATCTGGTGCTGATCTGTTTCAAGTGCCGATATAATTATTCGCATTAGTACAAATGAAATGTACTTTCATTAGTTACCGATCCCATTGAACTATGTTCCTTTTTGTTGTTACTAACTCTCTAAATCATAATAATGTCCAGAGGCTCAAGCCAAGAGCAGGAGCCACCTGTCAAGGCATGTTGATTTTTGTTGTACCTTCTGTACACAGAAGTAATCCGTCTTGCGTTAATGAGCTCAGGGATCAGAGCTCAGGTCTGTGTGATCTGACTGCAAGACCCTTTTCAATGCATTAGCGTGGTCCCTTGACGATTCCACTGAATATGAAGCAATCCAGGCAAGTCTTTGGCTTGAGATCTCGCCACTAACACTGAAGTAAGCTTCTAGTATCTCTTCTGGGGAGTGGGGATTTACTGTCCAGTGGTGTGTCTGCAGAGCCCAGGTCTGAAGCAGTGGTTTGAAAGTTTAGTGAATTTAGATCTCTTCTCCCAAAGCCAATATGAAAAAATAGAAGTGTGTCACAAATACTACCACCTCACTGATTCTATACAAATGCTCTCATTTGCTTGATTTGGATTACGTATCTGTGCTGACTGATCCAAGAGTGCACAAATGAGGATTTAATAACTGTAGACAGGCAGCTTTGCATTCCTGTGGTAGTTTTGGCAAGCCCTTGCCAGGAACCCATTGAAGGCATGGGCCTTTGCTTTATAATTTAACTTGTCAGCATGCAAGGGAGGCTTGTGAGGAAACACAGAGAAAATAATTAATAGTCTCTGGGTTTCCTGTTTATATTAAGATTTCTTTTCCTTAAAGTGTGTGGAACTACAAAAGAAAACAATGTACTTTCTGATTGCGAGACCCATTCTAGATGACACTGACTTCTCCTGAGATTCTCTAAGGTTCCTACGTGATAGGGGAAGAGCACATATATTGCATTTTAGGTTCCCACTGTGGGCAGATCCTACTCCATGCAAATTTCTGCATGTGGTTCAAGAGCCTGCTACTTGGGTTTTGCTCTTCATGTGGCAATTTCAGCTCCTCTGGGGGGTATCCTCAATCCATATTTTAGTGGCTCATCAGTCCTCCCAGCTGAGTTACTTCAACGCTAAGGCAACCTCTTACTTGCAAGGATTTGCCCTCCTCAGCAAGACCTCAGTAATTGTCTAGAATAACTATGGTACTATCATATTATGCTTAAAATAATATCTTGTGGTTTTGTCTTTCTCCTACCATCCTTCAGTGCCTCAGATCAGAAATAACAGAAATGAAAGCAGAAAAAGTGAATGGCTGTGTGGTCAAAGCGGAATAGGCAGCCCTCCCGTGTATGGTGATAACGATAGTTTAGAACTTTGTGAAAGGGTTGATTGGGTAGATTTCCCAGTGCATAGATAATTAACAACTATATTTCTTGTAATATGTGTTGTACAATAATTGCATATATTTTAGATCTAGAGCCAGTTTTTTGATCTACAGTGTAATTCTGGCGTAAGTCTATGGAGTCAGTGTTTTTACTGATGTTTAACCTAAGTGAAAAGATTTGGGAAGGCAGTGGACACAGTTTCACTTAGAACTGGGTTAAAAGGGTGAGAAGTTTTACTTGGTGGCAGTTCTTTAATCAACAAACTCTGGATGCTTTGACAGTTGAAAGCTGAGGGACAACATTGATGCAGCACTACAATCTGTCACACGATACTAGATTCATTCAGCTGTTATCCTTTTAATTGCAAGTATTTTCATTAATTGCTGTAGAAATTCATCACCCTGACCTGGCTGGGCTCCAAAAGAAAAATGTGGAAACTAATTAAACGTTGGGTTTTAAGGTAAAATAGTAAATTGCTCATTAGAACCCCTCGAAATCGTGATTTATTGCTAACAGAATGAAGTAATACTTGACTTTGCAGAAACTGGGTCATAGAATTCTTTCTTAGTCTGACTGAAGGTGCTGTAGCTTAGGCATCAATTAATTGGTCTTCATTTTTTTGCAGCAGTACACTTGTTTGGTTTAACCTGGCAACTACAGCCTGTTGAGGGGCAGCTGTATGAAAATGGAGTTAGCAAAGGAAATAAAGGAACAGAATCCACGGATACTACTTACTCACCAATCGGAGGAAAAGCTTCCGATAAAACAGAAAAAAAAGGTATGTGTGAATGGGAAGACAGACAGATGAGCAATATTTAAACAGTACCTTGGTTCAGATTCTGTGTTTGCTACAGTTTGACGGTATTTTGAGTTCGGGTTCTATCTTCTCTGGTATAATCTTAAAGCAGGACTTAAAAGCCCATAACCAGATTGTTTTCTTTAGCAGAACTCTCACTGAAATTAGCAACCAACCCACGCCATTAGGAAGGTAATGTTCAATAGCAAAATAACCGCCCTTCTTTTGTGAGAGAAGAGAGATTAGAGGGTTTGGCTTCTGTCTTAAGACATAGGAGGTGAGGCTGTAGTCACCTTGTTCCCATTTGTGCAAAGGGCTTGGTGCTGTGCAGACCAAAGTCAGTCTTGGGCAAAGTGAGACCCTTTCTACTGACAGGTCAGAGTATGCAGAAGGGTAGAAATATTAATGCTTTTCAAGACATCCAGTTCTTGAAGGCATAAGCTAAAATACAGCATCCTGTCACGTCCTGGCTTAACCAGTCATACTGAATCAGCTCGCAGGAGTCTGCTGAGGTTTCACAAAACGCCTGAGCCAGTCTGGCAGCTCCCTGCTGCCAGGGGGTCAGTCTTGCTCTGCGCCCGTTCCCCTCCCTGTGCAGCTTCCTGTGCCCCCATGCCTGCTGCAGGGATTGTCTCACGCACGACCAAACCACATCAGTTCACTACCATGGCAGAAAATGGCTTCATTAAAGAATGAAGCCTTTTGCCATCTAGGTGGCTGAACCAGCTCTTCTGAAGGGGCAGAGAAGTGCCAGAGCTGGCATAGGAAAGGAGTGGAGTGTGCAGCCAGCAGTGGGAAGCAGAGAACAGAAGTGCCTCAGAGATGCACAATTCCATCCCCTCAAGTTCTGTCATTTAACAGCGTTAGATCACCTACTCCAGTATTAGTTTCAGGCTTTGACCCATGCTTCCCATTGGCTACCATGGTGATGGTTTTTTATGATACTTGGAAAAAGCTAATAAATCAGATTAGATCAGAGAAAAGTGAATGGGAGTAGAATACAAACCCTCGTCTTTCCAGTTGTTAAGAGGAAGGTAGAATTGTACTGAGAGTTCTGCAATGATAGGAGATTTCCAGAGCTTCGAATTTTAGAGCAGAGCAGTGATCTGATTTTGTGTATACCAGGTAAGATCTATGGCTGTAAATATGAAACAAGGTGGGATGTTGTTGTACCAGTCCCTCCAGAAGAAAGATTGCATCTCACATCAATAGTCTTACAGATCAATGTGGCACAACTGGATAGAGATCATATTAGATAAATGAGCAATGGAAATATATGTAAGGAGACAACTATGTCGTTATCCATATTTTGTCCCTTCGAATGGATTGGTAGTGAATTGCAGTAAATGTTTTATACAATTTTATATTTTTGTCCTGGTGCACCATGGAAAATATCTCAAATAGTTCTTCTCAACTGCAGTAAAACATTTTGTCAATATATTACAGATTCAATAAAAGCTCTTCCAAAGCATTTGGCTTCCAAAGGAGGATGTGCAGGGAAAACATCGAAAACATTAAAAAAATCTTAAAAATTAGATGCTTGAAAACAGAGAAAAGAGTATGTGAATCAATAGAGACTCAATGTAGTAGGTAAAAAACCAAACCACCTGCCTTGCCTCAGGCAATTCCCCCACAGCACTGAAGCAGGAAGGGCTGTGATAGCAGAATTGCTTCACGGAGGGTTTATGCAGTAGTTTCAGAGGTCATTTGTGAATGTGGCCAGACTGTTGTCTCGCTTGTTCCCTTTCACCTTTGGGAGTAACCTGTAATCCAGAGTGTATGCTAACAACACATGTGCACTTGGGAAAGCACAAGAAAAATTGTGTGGACTTAGTGCCGAGCATTAGGACATACGTAGTCTGGCTGTGGCTGATTTTTGAAGGGTTTATTTCTTTCAGTCACTTTTAATATGAATCAGTAATTTTGTTCCCAGTGCTCATAACAAATTCTCCATGTCGATGTGCTGGGAAGGAGGATTTGGAAAGAGGCAGCTCCTTTCACTACAGCAGGATACCACAGAAAGGTGATACTTTGCCTGTAAACTTGAAGCCTCTGGTGTGATTTCACAGGGATAAGTAACTGCTGTCAGATATTGTGACCTCCAGTTTTCCCAACTCAATGCAGC